GGGGAGATCGAAGTGGAACGGAGAGCCCCCCTACCGGGAAATCGATTTCGCTTTCGTGTTCGTGCGTGCCGTGCGTGCGGGCGAGGCGAAGCTGCGTGGGCGGGCGAGAGAAAGTCTCCTGTGGCTGAGGCGCGGCCGGACCAAATGATTCCCTTCCGGGCGGCCGGGGCCCCGCGGTGTCCCGCCGGTGTCCCGCTGGTGTCCCGTGTGGCTGACGCGCGGCCGGACCAAATGATTCCCTTCCGGGCGGCCGGGGCCCCGCGGTGTCCCGCCGGTGTCCCGTCGGTGTCCCGTCGGTGATGATGATGATGATGATGATGATGACGATGACGATGATGATGATGATGATGATGATGATGATGATGATGATGATGGCGATGCTGCTGATGCTGATGCTGATGATGATGATGATGATGATGTTCACAACGATGATGCTGATGCTGATGATGGTGAGGTCTGAGATCCCCTGGTGGCCAGACGATTCTTTACAGCGAAGCTGTGCGAATAGATTCTGTTGTGTGCAAGCTCGAGCTTCGAAACACGGAGCGGCTCTCGGACCGCTTCACAACGACCCCTGAAGGATTAATTACAGCACAGGGTGGCACGAGGGCGGGTGTGCTTGAATTGTTGCGGAGCAAGAACGGCCATGGAACGGATCAGCAACAGACCAGGACGATACAAACATCTGACTAGGTCTGAGATCCCCTGGTGGCCAGACGATTCTTTACAGCGAAGCTGTGCGAATAGATTCTGTTGTGTGCAAGCTCGAGCTTCGAAACACGGAGCGGCTCTCGGACCGCTTCACAACGACCCTGCTGTGCCCTACCTGGCATCTGGCCGCTTCATGCCTAAAAAGAGTCTGTTGAAGAAACCTTCTGAAAGCCTCGAGGCTCCAGAGGAGATCCAAGAGCACACCCAAGACGCGCACGGACGAGACAAGTGAATAAAAGGCGATGGGGGTGGGCGGGGTCGCATGAGCGTGGACGCACGGACCGCCGACTTCGTCGGGGAACCCACAAGAAAACCCCAGAGCCCACATGTTGTCGTGGTTAGCTCGTTGGCAGCCAAAAGTGCACGGGGAGATCCTCGCGCGCCTCCCGTCACAAATGGTGAGCAGCTGTCTAAAGAGAACGGAGTGCGCGGAAGCGCTTGCTGATGGAAAGATAGCAACGCAAGGACACTTTACAGTTAGGCATTTGTGAAGAAGACGGGCTAGAATATTGCTAGCTTCAGTCTCACCGAACCTGGGCCAAATCAGAACGACTCCCCGAACGCGGCGAGACGAGATCCATCCCACGAGGCGGCGATATACGATGGCGGTAGCCAGCAGGGAGCCGTTTATCCACGCGCTGCAGCCCGAGATGCGGGCGTCGTCGGCCCGCGCGATCTCGCCCGTCCCGAAGCCGACTTCGAGGAAGGTCTGGCCAGCGGCAGCGCGGCACGCGCGGGCGAGGTCTTGCAAGGCTTGCCCGACGCCAGCGCCTCCGCCTTGAGGAAGCGAGGGCGCTGCGGTCGCCGCTGCTGGCCGAGGATCTGGCCGATGCTGTCCTCGACCTCCTGGGCCCACTCCGAGACCTCGACGTCGACCTTCTCGAGCTCCGCGAGGTAGCGCACGTGCCGCGAGTACCGAGCCGTGCTCTGCGCGCTCGTGTGGCGTAGACGCGCTTGCAGCTCGGCTAGAGGCATGCCCTCCACCGCCGTGGCGTGCGACGCCGCGGAGTGCCGCAGCTGGTACGGGATCATGTCGGGCGCACCCGGGACCAGCGACAGCCGACGTCGGAACTCGGCGCCGAAGGTCGCTGCGCTGAACGACCACAGGGGCGACCCAGCGGGCCGCGCCGCGCGGAGCAGCTTCAGGGAGCTCCCGCCGCCGCCACGCCAGGCCGCGCTCCGCAGCAGCACGCCCTCGTCCTGCGCGAGCGACTTGCTGCAGGCCGGTCCCTCGATCGGGTACAGCAACAGCGCCCAGCGGGGCTCCGCGCCGCGGCCTGGGCCCACCAGCGCGTCGACCGTCATGCCGACGAGGTCGCTCGGGAGGCGGATCATCGCGTCCCACGCGAGCGCGACCGCCCCCGCCCACTCGAAGTCCCCCTCGAGCGCGGCGATCCCGATCATCGCCCACACGATCGGCTTCCCGACGGGCGTCATCGGAGTGCTCCTCGAGTGCACACGAAAGCCAGAGAGCGCGGCCCGCGCCAGCGGAAGGCCGCCGTGCTTCGGCCGCGGCACGCGCGGCAGCCTGTATTGCACGGACGCCAGCAGCCGCGAGCCCGTCTCCGCCAGCTCCCCGTCCCAGAACAGCTTGTCCAAGTAGGCCGCCAGGAGGGCGTCCAGGCGGTCCGCCGTGATGTCGTCCAGCGACGGCACGGCGGCCCAGGCCAGGAAGCTGGTCACGTGGTTGTCGAAGCTGCGGATGGTGGCCTCCCGCACCTTGTGCCTCTGCAAGAAGGTCAGCCCATGCCGAGGGTCGCAGTTGGCTCCGCCGAACTTCGCGGCTCTGAGCTTCGCCCGATTGGCCTTCTGGCGTGCCAACTCGACGCGACCCGCCGCCTTCGACCGAGCTGGAGGCAGAGCTCCAGGCTTCGCGCTCGGAGGGGGTGTCTTGGTCTTCCCCGCCTTCAGAGGAGCGCGAGCTCGCTTCGGTCGTGGTGGCGGCGGCGGCCTCCTCCTCGGGGTCACATAAGTCGTGTCGCCGACGGCGGAGCAGGCCGATCGGATCGTCGTAGTGGAGGCGCCGAGCCTTCTCGTCAGCGGCCGCCCGAGCGAGGCTAGCCCAGGCCGTGCCAACATTCCGCGGGTCGGCTGCAAAGGGAGTCGGCTGGCCCGTCACGGTGCGTGAGCCTTTGTCTGAAGTGTTCCATTCTGAAGGTAGCCATCTCACGGCTACGGACATATCGTGAATAATGCTGTAGCTGCACAACTCTCTGCAGGTCTGATTGATCAAAGGGGATGCGGAACGACCTTTTTCCACTCCCAGTACCAAAGAAAGGTTATCATTAAGCATGAGGCGAAGATGACCCCGAGACCGCAAGGCGCGCATCTTGTGGCGCACGCCGAGCGCGAGGGCACGCCCCTCGAGCCTCAGGATGTTCTCCTCGCGGCACCAGCGGCCGAAGGTCACGTTCCGCCAGGTCTCCATCGGGAAAACGACGTCCGAATCCACAGTGGCGAAAGACATCCCGTCGGACGGAGCCCCCGAGGTGTCGCGGGCGGCGAAGGCGAACTCCCGAGCGTGCAGGGCTCCCTCCACGTGGTAGCGCCACCGCTCGCGAACCCGAGCTGTCTCCAACACCAGCTGCTGGCTGAGCTCCCGCTTGGTGACCCCGTAGCCGCCGTACAAGCTGCCCGCAGGGTCGAGGTCGCCCGTGCTGGCGTCGGTGGAGTAGACCGTCGAGTCCACGGGCCGCTTCGCGTCGTAGTAGGCGAAGGGCACAAGAGCGGCGGCGACTCGCAGCTCACGAATCACCTCGGGCCATATCCTCCAGCGGCTGTCACCCGCCTTCTTGATGAACCGATACGTCGACTGGAAGATGCACAGGAGTGGTCGGCGAAGAAGGGCCGCCCAGTTGAAGTGCCCGACCAGGCTGGCCAGCTCCTTTCCCGTGGCGTAGCGCTGGGACGCCTGGCACAGCAGCGCCTGGCGGATCTTCCACATCCGCGACCGCCCCAGCGATATCCTTCCAGACTCTCTATCGAAGATCAGACCTGTGAACTTCTGGTGATCGCTCGGCAACTCCATCTCCTTGCACTGGAGGCCCGCCGCGTTGAACGCGCCGTGCACCGTCTCCAGCTGCGAGACGACCACGTCGTACTTGGAGCCGATCACGGCGACTCCGTCGACGTAGGCGGCGGCGACGGTCTCGCCCTCGAGGTCGGGAATTACCTTCCTCTCGTGGACGAGTCTGTGATCGCCGATGCCGACGGTCCTCAGCATACCCTCGACGGCGTGCTGGCAGAAGAACAGGCTCCAGTTCCAGCCCATGGGCAGCACCTTCAGACAAGGCGAACACCTGCGACCGACGATGCCGTCGAGAGTGCCACTCGGCAGCACATTGGCAAGAGCACCGCGATCGATACTCGGAAGAATCATCAGCTCGCTCAGACCAGGCGGCGCAAGGAACCGATAGAAGGCTGCCTCGATGTCGCACTGACCGAGGAAGAGGCTGCTGTCGGCCCCGAGCCGCAGGCTCTGCCAGCTGCCTGCCGTCGGCAGCTCGGCGACGTCGGGGTCATAAAACATACGATTGACACGCCGGGTGTCCAGAACCATCCGCTGCTGGCCGCCCCCGTCCCGCTTGGCGACGAAGAACGGCGCGAGCGTGTGCTTGCGCTCGCTGGTGAATTCGATCATGCCCGCATTGAACAAGTCGTGCAAAAAGCTGGCGTAGAGCTTCGGCGAGCTCTTCAACCTGGCGTCGAAGTGAGGTGGTACATTAGCAAGCCACTCCTTACGAGGGCGCAAGAGATGCTTCTCCCAGTCCTGCCACAAGTCGCGCACGGACTCCGACAACAGGTAGGCGGGCTCGCACTTCCTGGAGTCCGAAGGCACCGCCACGCTCCCTTCGGTGAACAGAACCGCCTTCGCTGGGGACATGTCGTACCCAGGAGAACAACCACGCAGCTCAGTGTAAGCCGCCGTGGGACTGACATCGGGAGGCCCGAACTCCAGCAGGTGGTCGTAGAGCGACTCGATGCCAGTGAGCTGCGCCGTCGATAGCTTGTCGAACCCCTCACCGCCCAGGCGCCCGTTGAGAAAATTGAGCGCCGCGACGACCTCGCAGGTCCACAGCTCGACGGCCAGCTGCTGGCGGCCCCGGCTCCGCCGACTTCGGGAATTTGAAAAACATGCATTGTGGTTGCGCCGCTCGAAGTGCGCAGTCGCAAGGTCCAGCGGGATCGGAAGGACGTCCCGCTGGACCACCATGATCGTGAAGTTGAAGGGAGCGTCAGCCCCCCTCCCCGCCAGCGGTAGCACCTCCACGGCCCTTTCCCTTGGGGTCCGCCCTGGGTGCAGCCGCCAGCTGCTTCTTCAACTTCTCGATCTCCGACTTCTGGCGATCAACGGTGCTCTGCATCCCTGAGAGGCGCGCCTTGCCGTCACCACCGCCACCGCCGCCGTGTCCGTCATCACCCCGCGAGGCCATCCGCTCCTCCTTCAGCTTCCGCCGCTCCTTGAGAACGAGGCTCTCCTTGTGGAGCTCATCCGTCACGAACGTGAGCAGCTTCGGCGAGATGCAGACCAACCCGCGGGTCTCGCCCGTCCCGAGGTACAAGTGTGAGTCCTCGAGCAGCTCGTCACCTCGAGAGGTCGTGAGAACCCTCTCGCGATGGCGGTACTCGGCCATCTGGAGTCGACGACACACCAGTTCTGCACACGACAGCTCGCTGGCATTGAGCTGGTCGTAGGTCAGCAGCAGATGCATGATGCGGCAGCAGAGCTCGTGGACGGAGACGTCCTGGTCCGACGACGACAGCCCCGTCTCGGCTTTGAACTTGGCGCGCCGAGACCTGAAGGTCACGTCATTCTCGCGCACGAACTCGCACACCCACTTCACGGTGCGGGGCCCGTTGATCGGGAAGAACTCCCACTGCGTCTCGGTGAGCTCCCCCGCGGCCTCACGCATCCCGAGGAAGCGCTCCGTGGCGTTGGCCCGCAGCGCGAGGACGCGCGCGTCGAGCTCGTCCCCACCGTCGGGGGGAAGAGCCCGCACCAGCATCGTGCGGCCCCCCTTCATCGCCATGCCGAACCCCGACGCGATCACGAAGGCGTCCAGGTCCTCGTCGGGCAGCAAGCCCTTCCCCCCGCCGTCGCTCGAAGCGATGCATCGCCAACGCGACGGCGAGGGGTCTGGGAGGCGCCCGCGGCCAGAGCCCCACTCAGTCGGAATCTCCGCCGAGGCCAAGGCCGATCCTGAAGGCGCTCTCGCCGCCGCTGGCCTCGCCTCCGCCTCGGGCTCCTCGGGGGCCCCATCCGCCGACGCCGCCGTCTCCAGCACCTCGTCGAGCGACTGCCCCAACACGAAGCGCAACTGCAGCGCGAAGGCCGCGGGGCTCATCACCCAGTCCCTGCCGTACGTGCCGACGCCCACGGGGTTGGCCCCCTCTCGGTTGACCAGCTGCCTCCGATCCCTCATATCGTACGGCACGATGATACGCAATGCCTGGGCCGTCAGCTCGTGCGGGTAGGCGTCTCCGTCGGGCGTCGCCATATACCACAACCTCCCGTCCTCCTCGGCCTTCTCGCTCGGATCCAGACTCGTCACTTCCCGATAGTCGGTCGGAGTGCACGGCGCGATCGCGATGCGGGCCTGCATGCTCTCGCCGCCGCGCCACTGGATATCGAACCGCTGCCCTGCTCTGACTTGGAACGGCATAGCGTCCGACGAAGACACCGAGGAAGAAGGGCGCGATGGAGAGCAGGGCGGCTCCCCACTTCAGCGAGCCGACAAGCCCGTACGCGACCGCGCACTCGGTCGCGTTGCCGAGGGTGCTCTCCGCAAGGCCCCACGCCTTGTCCGAGACAATCCAGGCGCCGACGCGGGCGAGGCCACCAGCCACGGAGGACAGAGGCATGAAGCGGCCGCTTTCTCTGTTTGTGCTTGAATTGTTGCGGAGCAAGAACGGCCATGGAACGGATCAGCAACAGACCAGGACGATACAAACATCTGACTATGGTGGTGATGATGGTGAGTTCGGTAGTGAGATCGATAGTGAGACCGAATGTGAGATCGATTGTGAGATCGATTGTGATATCGATAGTGAGGTCAATAGTGAGACCCAATGTGAGATCGATAGTGAGATCGATAGTGAGATCGATAGTGAGACCGAATGTGAGATCGATTGTGATATTGATTGTGATATCGATAGTGAGATCGATAGTGAGATCGAACGAGAGGTCGATCATGACTTCGATAGTGAGTTCGATAGTGAGATCGATAGTCAGATCGATTGTGAGATCGATTGTGAGATCGATTGGGATATCGATAGTGAGATCGATAGTGAGACCGAATGTGAGATCGATTGTGATATCGATTGTGACATCGATCGAATGAGATCGATAGTGGTATCGGTAGTGAGATCGATCGTGAGACCGAATGTGAGATCGATCGTGAGATCGATAGCCAGATCGATTGTGAGATCTATTGTGAGATCGATTGTGAAATCGATAGTGAGATCGTTAGTGAGATCGAGTGTGAGATCGATAGCCAGATCGATTGTGAGATTGATCGAATGAGATCGATAATGAGATCGATAGCGAGATCGATAGTGAGATCGATCGAGTGCGACGGTGGTCCCCCCCCCCCCCTCGCCTCCTTATCACCCGAAGGGTGGTCTATGCGGTATATATGTGTATATATAAATATTTCCAGCAGCAGCGACAGCACCATCATCATCAGCATCACAAACATCAACATCATCATCACCATCACCATCATCTCCCGCTACACCCCAGGCCACCCCAACATTTCTGCGTGGCGAGCCTCCCGGGCGATTCCACCGAAGGGCACAGCGGCGAGCGAACGAGACGCCCAGGAGGAGGAAAGGAGGCAAACCAAATACCAACACACTAACACACCACCGAGGAGGAGAAAGAAGAGGGAGAGGAGGGCGGGCAAGAAAAGACTTGAGCAGGCGCGTTTGCGGCGCATCGGCGCGACCGCGACGGCCCTCAATTCCAAAGGATATTAAATGTGCAAGACACTGCCATCTCCCGCTACACCCCAGGCCACCCCAACATTTTTGCGTGGCGGGCGTCCTGGGCGACTCCACCGAAGGTCGCAGCGGCGAGCGAACGAGGCGCACAGGAGGAGGAAAGGAAGGAGACCAAGGACCAAAACACCAACACACCGCAGAGGAGGAGACCTGAGCCCGAGAGGAGAAATGGCGACGCGAAGCGGCGTCAATAGAACATAAACAGAAAGACGAAAACCGTCAGGCGGCGTTGGACTGTATACTTGGGTAGGGATCTGCGAGCCAAAATTAGCAGGAGCTTCGACTGGAAATGGGACAGGCAAGGGTCACTATGCGTTTGAAACCCTGAAATCCAGTTCGCATCGAAACTAAATCAGAACAGTAATTTCAAAAACACACAGGACAAGGCTCGGCGAGGCAGGCCCAGAGGATCCCTGGAACGGGGTCGAGGCCAGAGAGGACGATGCGGGGCTTCCCTGGGAAAATCAACAGAGACCCTTCCTACAACTACAATGGGGCTTCACGGAGGCCTCCAGGTGATGAAGGCCCAACGGGCCACGCGGGTGAATTTCCTCCAGCGGGTCCCGAACGCGCACACGTCGAGGTTGAAGACGGAAGCGCACTGGGCCCCCAGCAGGGCCTGCAGCGCCGGTGTCGCCCAGGCCCACGAGGGCCCCAGGTTCTCGAAATAGATCGGGGTCCCGAGCGATCGGCAGAGCGCAATGAGGCCGAGGGCAAAACGGAGCTGTTGTTTCCCGAGGTCGACGGACGGCTGAGGCCTGGCCCTCGAACTAAGGAGCCCCCACACGTGGTGCTGGGAGCGGATGGTGCACCAAGAGGACCCTGGCGGCCCATGGCGGGCCTGGCTCCAGGAAGTACATGGCAGGGCCACCAAGAGTGCAGCACGCATGCACACGTACGCACACACACATACACACACACGCAGCCATCCTCGGATAGTGCGACGGACGACCTGCAGGTCGATGTTGAACCATGGTTTTGAAGCGAAATCCATCGGCAGCGCGGCGATGCCCTTGCGCCGCAGCGCCGCCGACAGGCGGCCCGTCCCGGCGAACGCAACTCTACGACGGCGGTCCGAGGGGGGGGCCCATCTGACGCTTGAAGCAGTCATGAAGCTCCCTGAGGAGGTGGCGACGAATGGCTTTGGTCGACGGACCCCCCTCGTCTTTGCCCGCCAGCTCTAGCGCCCGCTCGAAGTCAGGCACAGCGCGGGCAGGCCCGCGCCGCTCAGGAAGATGCGAGGCAGGGCGGCGCCCACGGCCTGGCCGAGCGAGATTGCCTGCTGGCCGACGCGCTGCAGCTCGGAGATGATTCGCGCCTGCTTGGCGCAGCGTCTGAAGTTCTCGTCGGGGGCCCAGCCGCCGCGCTGCTGGACGTCGAGGGCCGCCCGTCTCTTCGCCAGGAGGTCGTCCGATGCTCCCTCGCGGCGCAGCCCGCGCGCTGGGACTGGGAAGTCCGTCGCGCCCAGGGCACAGGCCGCCCCCATTCACGCCCAGGCCGAGCCAGGCGGGGGGAGGGCCGCAGGCGCGATCTCCCGGAGGGCGCCCGCCGCTTCAGCCCCAGGGGCGCCGGCACCAGGAAGACGAAGGTGTCGATCGCCAGGGTGAAGTCCCAGAGCCCCGTCTCCCCGGGGCGCCCGAGCTCTTTTGGATAGACCAGCAGCGCGGCGAGCCCCGAGCCCTCGGCGCCCGCCGCGACCGGGGGGGCCACCTGCATGGCCGAGTCAAGAGGTCGCACTCGGACGGGCGGAGGTAGCGCGCGAAACTCTGGATCATCGCCATCGCCTGCTCGTTCCGGCCGCGCCGGAGCATCGCGCTCGCCAGCGCTGCCACCAACGACCAAGGGGGCGGCACGCGCACCCTCCGGGGCGCGCAATATTTCCCCGACCCACCAGGCTGCGGGAGGCTCGGCACAGCGCCTGGTCGGCCCAGCGCCCGATGGGCGGGGGGGAAGTTCAGCGCGGCTAGGAAGCGAGAGGCATCGCCCCCGCTGTGGCCGTGGAAGTACAGGTAGTCGAAATAAGTCACCACCATCGTGCCAAGCTGCCCCCAGCTCCTCCAGTCCAGGTGGAGCTGCGAGCGCCGCCCGATGAAGCGTAGCCGCGCTGACGGGCCGCTGCTCGAGGTAGGTGAGGCCCGCCAGGGGGCTGCCTCGCAGCGCCCCCCGTCGGCGCGCCGCGGCCGCTTGCGGGACGTGGGAGAAGCCGACGTCAACGCCGAGAAAATATCTGCTCCGCGAAATTGGAATTGCGTTTTGAGCCAGCGCGACCCCGCCCAGGCCTGGGGAAACGCAAAGCGGCCGGGGAGGGCAGGGGAAGGGAGACGTCGCGCAGCAGGTAGGAGGGAGAGCAGGAAACAAAAAGTGCAAGCAAGAAGCGGACCTGGCGGGCGCTCTCGGGAGAGGAGGGAGAACATAAAAAGATAATGCGGCATCCTCCATGACCGAAGCCTCGCCCCCCCACCGCCGCCCCCCCCCCCCGCGCTTCCACCCCCGCCGCGCCCGCCCTCTGTCCGCCCGCGTCGCGCCCCTGACCCTCGATTCGCCCGAAGCCAGCACCCGGCGATTCCAAACCGCCTACTTCCCGCGAAAGGGGGCGGCGGGCGCCCTGCGCGTTTGGGGCCAAAGACCGCGGTTCCCTCTTGCCCCGGCCCGCAGCCCCTGGCAAACCTCCGTAATCGTCGAGGGGTTCAGCTCGCCCATGGGGCCGCCGTTCGGGGGCCTCGGTGCTGGCGTCTGCTGTTTGATGTTGCAAGGAACGAAATGCCGGCATCCACACCAAGACGCCACCGGAAAAGTTGGGCGCGCTTCCCCTGCGGGGGCTGAGCGACCCAAAGGAGCCTGGAAAGCTTCAGATGGCTCGCATTACTATCAGGACTTGCAGGCCAGGGGGCTTGCATGATAGAAAAAGCGCCCCATGGGGCCCATGGCGCCCCCTGGGCCCATGGGGCCCCCATGGCCCGCGGGATGCGCAAGCGCCAGAAACCCGATGTGGCCCTGGCGAGTCAGGGGGCCCATGGGGCCCGCGCGGCTCGCTAGGCTGGCGCGGCGCATTCTTCCCACGCGCGCTGTGGCGCACGTGAGGCCCAAGGAACCTTCTGCGGGACTTGCGGGGTTCATCGGGCAGGCCGGGTTCGCGCGGCCCGCGGGCCTCGCGCGACTAACGCCCACCTGGGGGATGAGAACAGCCCGCCTTGTTCCCGCGCGCCCAGGGCTGGCGTTCATCAGCGCGGGGCGCGCGAGCCCGAAGACACGGGCGACGGCAGTCAACGGAGGCTAAGAATTTTCTTTTTTGCCAATGGGATCTTGGCGCTGGTGTCGGGCCCGGCGCGCCGAAGACAGGCGCCGCCAGGATGCCCGCGCCGGCGGCCAGGGGGGCGGGCCGGGGCAGCGCTGGGCGCCCCGTCGGCAACGGGGGCTTGCTGGAGCGGGCCCGCTTCCCCCCCGCCGCCTCCCTGACCGTGGGGGCGATCGCCCAGAACAGCAGACGCCTCGGACTCGACCGCCTTAATGCATGGGGGGCCACTCGAGGGGGGCTTCGCGGGGTCGGGCTCGCCGGGGGCCCACGCGGCGACGACGTGCAAGCGACGGGCGAGGGCGCGGGCGCAGATCTCCCGCAAGACGCCGCGCTGCTGCGGCGACGAACCGCGGCCCTGGCCGATCGCGAGGGCGAGCGACACGTTGTCATCTAGGCGCGCGATCCGCGACCCCCCCCCCCCGAAGGCATCGGCGGACCTGAGCCGGCGGCGGAGAGCAGAGGCCGCAGCCAGCCCCTCGGCGCGGCAGATGTCGAAGGAGCCCCTCCACGGAAAGGAGTGCGTAATAGCCCGCCGTCGCCGACGACAAGGTCAGGATCGACTTCG